ACACCCACAGAGGTCACAGAGTAAAATCCTGCATTTTCCAGTGATGTGCTCCCACCTAGCTGCTGCTGTGCTCCTAAAGGTAAATCTGCAGATGTGAAGTAGTAAAGGGAGAAAAGACAGCAGAAGCTGCAAGCAGATGACAGCATCAGTTCCATCAGAAGAGCAAAACAGCCCAGAGACTGACTGCCTCTTCGGAAACAAGTAACCAAAGCTGGGAGGTACTGGACTGCAAGTACTGGATGGGATGGAGAAGATGCAGTTTGTTCTTGCCTGCTTTTCCCAGGAGACAAAGGGAAGGCTGCTGGGAAAATACTACTCGATCTTTCTAAAGCAACAGCATATTAGGGATACAGTCACAGTGTGAACAAATAACACCAAATTACTTGAGATAATTTCTGCAGATAGAGTTTCATTTACCTGTGGGATCCTGTGTTCTGAGATGGTACTGAGACCACAAATCTAGTAGGAATCAATAGACTGAACTTTTAAATAGATAATAAGAACATACAGAGAGCTACACTAGACAAAATAAACATTTACAAGGGATATAAACTCTCATGCTTCAAGGCATAAGCCACTAGATGATGAGGATTAAAGACAAGTGTCCACTTTGGTCAAGCTGCTCCAGGAGCTGCTGCATCCCTCCCCAGCAGCAGGAAGGTGAGGTCAGTGGCCAGGCAGTAGCTGTTCCAGGACCCCATGGCTTCCTATGACAGATGCCACACAATGCTGTCCATCTCCTGTCTACTCCCAGCATGTCCAGGAATATTCACTAATAGTCACCCATTTTACAGCAGGTCTAGCTGCCTTCCCCCTTCCATGCCTGGTCTCCCAGACAGGAAGCAAGCTGGGCAGCTGGTCACTGAGTACAGTCAGATGGAGGATCCTGAGCTGGGAGCCCATTCTGCAGGGCTGCAGTGACTGGAATTAATAAACTAACAGGAGAACCAGGTCCCTCCCTCGTACAGTACCAGACAGAAGCATACAAATTTCTGATTCTGCAGCATGTTTTCATCAATGCCATAATAAAAACATTGAGTCACGGGATGATGGGGCATTTCAGGATGGAGCAGACTTTGAGAGGTCTCTAGAGCCTGATCACAGTGGGACCAGCAATGAGGCTAGACCAGGATGCTCACAGCTTCAGCCAGCCTGTCCTTGAAAAACCCTCAAGGATGGAGACTGTACAGTCTCTCTGAGTAACTTCTTCCACCTCTGGACCCTCTTGATGGGGGAATAGTTGGAAGCTTTTCCTCACACCCAATTTGCATCTTGCCTGTTTCAACTTCATGGCTGTTGTGTCTTTGTGCTAGCAGGCCCAAACCGGCACTATTCCCATTGTGAGTCTAAGTGTGCCAAAGAGGGGGATAATCCTCGCTAGGATGCTGCTGGTTGTCTTCACCACCAGGGCACACTGTTCAGCTCCCGATCTGCCCACATCCCCAGAGTCCCTCTTGCAGCCAGTTTTATTGCAGTCCTCCCTTCTCTGGTGCAGGATTTTATGGTTGAATTCCATGTTACTTCCAGACTGCATAGGTGCCTCCGTGTGACAGCCCTACCCTGGAGGACACTAACAGCATTCTTCAGTTTGGCATCATCTGAAAACCTGACAAGGTGTGCTCCCTTGTTGTGGATGAAGATGCTGACCAGGTCAGACCCCTGCCCATACCCTGCAGTACAGTGGCATTGTGTCATTAACCACCACCTTTAAGCTTGACCATCCAGCCAGTTGTTTTCCCATCTACCTGCCCGTGTGTCCACACTGCAGCACTTCACTGTACTCTGTGCTGCAAGAGCACTGTGGTCTACTAGATCTGCACTGCCTCTCTGGTCACCTCTGGCCACCAAAAGGCAGGAGAAGCATGGTTGGGCCAGTTATGTGCAGAGGCACCACATTTATGGGAGCCTCAAGTGATGTAGCACCCGGATCATAAAGCTCTGGGCTGAAACTGAAACCATGTGTTTGCTTGTTTGCTTCCTTTAGAGAAATTTATTCTGTGGGCCACCATAAACATTCACAAGCCACATAAAAAAGGAAAATCCCTGTTGATAAATACAAGTCCCTCTTTTCGTAGGGAAAGAAGGGAGGTGATCTGAGATCACGGACCAGGTGTTTGTGATGGGCATGGAGATGCAGTGGAGACATGCTCCTGTGTGCATCCTTGTCTCTGGAAGAGGAAGAGAAGGACCCACGGATGTCAGCATAGGAAGCCGAATGAACAGCAGGGAAGCCGGAGGAGAAATAAGCACAAAGCAAGAAGCTTAATCCACACAGCTCCCACTTCCATCTTGGAAATGCCAGAGAGCTGGATGGTCTCTCCAGCCCCACAGGCATGCCACAGACCCCAGCAGATGCAGGACAAACACCAGTAGTGCATCAACAGCCAGGTTCATTCAGAGCAGCACAAGCGATGGCAGTGGTAACATGCATACAACAAAACACCGTCCATGTCTTAACATGCATACATTTCTCCAACATCTCTAAGCACTAACACACACAACTACCTAATTATGAGCAGAAATGCACGGCTAACAATTAAAAACCTTATCAAGGAAGCACATTTCTAGGAGAGGGTCCAAAAACTACAACAAAGCAGTGGCAGGTCGTGAAATGAATCCCTGAGACTGGTATACCAAACATGCACCCTTGCTCAGGCACGGAGATTTGTCCATTTTGGAACAAGCAGGGATGTGCTTACAGCACCAGACAGGATCCATCATCTGCTTCATGGTCAGCCCCTTGGGGGCTGTGGTGCTTTCCCTAGGAAGGCTCTGAAACTGGTCCTGCAAAGGACATGAGTCAAAGAAGGATTGAGAAGGCATTTTGGATGCTAGTTAGCAAATTCTCACTTACATGAGAAGGAGAACCTACAGGAATTGAAGCTGACCTTCACACTAGCTAGAGCAGAAAGTTGTTATTAAAGGAACCAGAGAGAGGAACAGTGCAGTTATTCAATATAATGGGTCACACAAGCCTATGTGTAGATAAAAATAAAATCTATTACTATGGAAAATGGGTTCAGATGACTCTATATCACGAAACCCTCACTGCACCTTCTCCGGCTGAGCAGCACCAAGCCCTTTTGCCATTCCTGCCAGCTGCTCCTGAAGGGCTGGTAGCTCCCCAAAAATTAAGCTACAGGTTCTAGGGCTCACAGCTGGGTTTTCAGTGAAAGGTGCTCTGAAAGAAGGCTAGATTCCCACAATGTTTCTAAATGCTTCTAAATCTCTACCTTTGCCATGAATGACAGTATCTAATGCACAGAGGCTTTCAAATGCTCACTCTCAGCAGGAGGATGCTCCTGAAGCGAAGGGGATCTCAGGGCATCGGTGAAGAACCAGTCCAGGAGAGACTGGATGGGAAAAGAAGGGGAGCAGCAGGGCAGGATGTGTGCCCCTCCAGCACAGGTACAACCAGCTGAGCTTGCGGTTATGCTGAAGAGTTGATGCAAGTTCCTATCTTCACCAGACTTGAACAGCCAGCTGTGCCATTGCAGTCAGGCAGGCCTGGCTGAGGCTAGAAGAAACATACCAATAGTGTCTGTGTGTGCGTGTCCATGAGAAATGGCATGAAACAAAGACAAAACCTCACATTCTTTTCAAAGAAGACTTGCTTTCTGGTGTTCACTTTTTATTCTCACTTCTCACAAACTGCATCTGACACTTTCTCAGCAGCTCTTTCTGAGGCTACTTCATGTGTAAAAACTGGTTTCTAAACAACCTATGATCTAACTTCTGCAGACAATTTCTAACTCTAATACAAACATAAAGGGCTGATTTTTTTTCTTAACTCCTTAGTGATCTGGTAGAACCCAAATTGCAGAACATAATCAAAGCTGGTGACAAAGACTAATCCTGAAAGACCCTGGACATCAAATCAGTCACCAACTCCCACTTTCCTAATACAAGGATTTTTTAATAAATCACCACTTCCTGGAACCATGTGATTACAAGTAACAATCTGACCATAAGCTGGCTCAAATGACCTAAAGGGCTTGGAAAGCAACAGGGGAAAGAGAAAGAATCCCCAATTTATCACCACTTTTCAAATCATATGATGCTTAAGGCCAAATTAATGACTTTTAACATATATTTGGGCTTTCCCTCATAGCCAGCAGTATCTGTCACATCCAGACCAAAAGTGGCACAGCTTGGGCAGAAATCCAAGCAGTTCTTTCAAGCTGAAATAAATGTGCTCATTTCCAGTAGTATCTGACAGGCTCCAGCACTGGGGCAGGAGCAAACCCTGTGCTCCCACCCCTGGGCACTGCCAGCATCCTGATGTCCTACCCTTTGTCGCACGCCGACACATCCAACAGCAGCTGATGGCTGCGCTTGTGATGTCATGTGCCTGCAGACCCTGCTCTGCCCACCCCTCCACTCCTACCAGCCCCACAGGCAAGTGCTGGCCACACAGGCAAGTGCTCACCATCAGCTGGCTCATGCTACATATCCTTTCTCACCGCACGGCTCCAAAGGGTTAGGAAATTACAGGCATACAGTGTCCTGAGGATAACTCAGCAACCCCTGGGAGGCAGCCAGATGGGCACAGACTTGTGCAGAGAAAAGTGGAGGTCGGGACAAGTCCAACCCCCAAGCATCAGCAACCTCAGCAGTAGGACAGCATGGAGGGACACAGCGTATTCAGAGGAAACAGGTGGGTTACAGCAAAACCGGTGTCAAATGGTAAGCGCCTGGCATGGTCCAAAATGGAGCAATGCCCAGGCTCCACAGGAGGGAGGCTGTGGGCTCTTTCAGCCACTGTAAATTATTTGCTTGAGCAGTCCACCAGCTGAATCACCTCCTGCACTGGGGGGCCTGGTCTTCCTTCACCCAGGCCTGCTTCACATCTTGCCTTCCCCTCCAGCCCTGTGGCTTCTGCCTCATGCTCTCCTAAGCCCAGAGCATCCACAGAGTGCCACATTCTCCTCCTGAAATGCTGTCTTTTTCCTCCCCTTTTATTTCCTGCACTCCCATCCCCCTCCACTTTGAACACTCACCAGGCACCATTCCTGTCAGTGCTGGAGCAGAATAGCTGCCCTGTCCTGCAGGAGGGACATGTGGAGGGTATCCTGGGAGGGTTGTGCTTGCCAGCTCACGACCTGAGGAATCAAACCAACAAATCACCACGTGAGGATCACAACAAGCGGACACAGTTTTACATCTCCCCAAATGCCCAAAACACAGCCATACATTTGTCATCACCACTCAGCAAAGGAACAGTGTGGGATTTCCAGCCTGGCAGGGAGGGCAGGCACAGTTTTGCTTTCTCTATAAGCTGCCACAAAGCTCTCATGAAGTGAGAGATGGGAAAGGGAAGAGCAGAGCTCTGCAGGGAAAGGAATGTGCCTCCCTGGCTGTTCACCCCTATTCCCAAGTTCCTCCAAAGCTCAGATTTGTAAAGTCAGAAACAGCAAAATGTGAAATAACACTGATGTTAATTACACTTCCCCCAAAAGCTCTCCAGAAAATCAGAGTGCACTGGCTGAAGGTTTGCAGAGATCTAAATACAATGCAGGACATTGTTTTTATCTCCTACCAGAGCCAGTTAAAAAAAAAAAAAAAAAAACACAAACCCAACACCCAACAAAAAAAACCCACACCACCACCACAAAGGAATAAAAAAAAAAAAGCCAAAACCCAAACACAAGACATTGAGACATGAAGACAGTTTAAAATATAGTTTGCTGTGGTGCCAGAAGAAGGGAAAGATTTACAGACACAGGCTGATGTACTGCTCTTTACTTAGACTGCAGAAATGTCTTTATCACATACCCACAGGTCTTCCATGGAAATGGAACCCCACAGAAAGCAGGCAGTGGGGTGTCCCTCATCTCCCTCCTCCCCTGGACCCGGGGGCCAGGGTCCCCCTCCTGCTCCAGGCACAGCTCCCACATGTTGCTGTCTGCAGAATGACAATGGAAAGTCCATCACAAAGTGATGGATTTCAGGGAAAAACTGCTGTGGCCACAGGTGGTCTGCCAGGAGACTGAAGAGATATTCCTGAAACCCCACCAGGGAGGATGATCATGGGGAGCCCACTCATAGTCTGCTGGACTCCCACAGCATCCTTGAATAAGTTATCCAAGGATACGTTGCTTTCACAGAGCACTCAGGTGCTGTTAGCATCTTCCTTGGGATGCCACAGCTGGGTCTGCGGCTGGACGGAGTTGCTGCTATCCTCTCCCAGCAGCACCATACACACTGTTCAAGCCACCGCTCTGCCATGGAGATGTGTCCAATCCACCACCCCAGCACGGGGCAGCACTGACAGCACCTGGGCCATCCTGCCAAGTGGCAAGGAGTCCAGGAGGAGACCATCCAAGCCCTAGCAAGCTCCAAGATGCTGTTGGCTCAAACCAGTTCATTAGCTGGGCAAATATCACCATGAGCACAGGTTTCTTCATCAAAACATGGCGTGTTATATCAACAAGAAAAGTTAGGTGACTTTGCCAATTTTAGTGCCACTAGCAAGAAGAAATGCATAGATTCTCATGTTCAAATTGTTTTGTGTAGGAATTTGATTTTATAACAGGGGTTGAGTATTTTTTCAAGTCCTTAGAGAATTGGAGAGGTTGAAACTGAGTATTTTCCTATGAGGCAACACAATTTTTTAACTTTTTTGGTTGGCAAAATTTAATTTCCAACTGATCTAAAAATAAAAATTGAATTTTATTTTTTTTTTTGTTATTTTCAAAGAAACGAGACCTCATCTGATGAGACTAGAGACAGAAACGTGGTTATTGCAAATTGCAGCTCACTACCCCCAGGTCATGGCCATGAAGGTCTCTTCCCTCACCACCCCATCAGACAAAGGGGTCCATGCCACAATGCTCTGTCAACACCAGGCACGTAGGCATTGCGGCAGTGATCTCTCAGCACATGCCCCACTTTCCTTGGCACTCTGCATCCACAAATTGGGATGTGTGCTGTTCCTCTCAGGACCTTCCTACAGAATATTTATGGTGCATCTGCACCCTGAAAGAATTTAAGGTTCCAAACAATTGATTAATTTGCTCTCCAGTTCTAGGGGGAAGCCAGATCCCTTACGGAAGGGCATCATGAATTCTAATTATTCAAGGCAGGCAGAAAATGGCTCTTTCAGATTAAAATGTTCTCCCTTTGTTACTGCCCTGCTTCCTTTCTCCTGCACAAAATTCAACTCTGATTACATCATCTCTAAGGCCTAGAGAAGGCAAAAGGATCTGCAATCTACCTAAATTTGGTTGCAGAAACAAAGTTCCCCACAGTGCTGGCAGGGAGCACTGGCCCTTGACTGTGAGCTGTCCCTAATGCAGAAGAGAATCTCATAGCCTGAACTCCACAACAGCACCCTGGAGCCCTCCATAGACCAAAAAATGGACACCGTGGCTCTTTTCTTGCTCAGTGATGCAGCTTAACAGTACTTTTCACTTTCTCCAAAAGCCACTGTCACACTCAGCGCAGTCAGGATCAAGGGCACTGAGCAATGTAGCCACCACTGGAGACACCAAGAGAAGTAGGAACTCAGCTCCTCCATAAATGAAGCCAGTATCACTGACTGCCTGTTCTGGGGGTCTGGTATGGTTTCCACCACATCTCATTTCCAAATTAAACATTCTGGTATCTGCTGAAAAATGTTTACAGCAGGGTCACTGCAGCCAGGACTCGAGCAGAGGCTGGGAGGCAACAAGGCTGGCAAGAGGTGACCAAGGGCTCAAAGACAGGATAAGAAGCAGGCTCCACCCCAAGGTATTCCCACCTTACTCATGTAGGCAAAGCAACCAAGAGGAAATTAACATCTACATTTTAGCACTGGGCCATGGAGACATAAAGACCAAGGTCCTGCAAGACATATACTCTGAAACACCTTTGGGGTAGCTTCTTTAAGGTTGTTTTAGATGCCTAAAGTTGGAGATGGGGCACAAGCAGCTGCAGGCAGAGCTGCCTCCCTCCTCTCCTTCTTTGACTCACTGGGCTGGTGTCACATGGGACAGAGCAGCTCAGCTGCAGCTCCAGCCCATGGAGAAGATAAACTGAAGAAGAACTGAGAAGGATTTTCTGCCAACAACTTGTACCAACACTATGAAGCCACTGCCTAAAGATTCAGACACCCAAACACCTTGCTGAGTCTTGCCTGCGCAGGACTGCCTGCACTCCACAACCCTTGCCACAGCATCATACGGATACAGTCAATTAACCCCTCTCTGGAAATCAAAGATGCAGAGCAGAAGAGACCTGAGGTCAAGATGACTGGAGAAGACTCCATCCTGGAGATGAGCTCCATCCAGACAAACTGCTTTCCCCCTCTGTCTCTCAGCCTTTCCCTTTCTTCAGTGAAAAAAAAGTTTACCACTGAACTGCTGCTGGACTGAGGGATTGAAAGCGCTGCAGCATGGTAAGCAACAGAGCATTTCAAACACATTTCCCATCCAGGTGTGCTACAAGGACAGACTGGCCAAGCAAACCCTTAGACAAGCAGGTAGCAGTAACTGGTTATCAGCACTGCCTTGGGACTGTGTGGAGCTGCACGGGGGGGATTGCATGGGCTTAGGCATGGGCATGGGCATCAGCACTGCCACTCCCAGGGAGCTGCTGGGATCAGGCACTCCTCTGGGGCCTCCCAGTGAATAACCAACACAGGAGAGCGTGCCAGGGTGCACAAGCATGGAGGAGTTGCCTGAAAATAGGCATCAGGCTGAGGGAGCACATGCATCTGAAAATGCCTGGTACCATGCCAGCTAGGCCCACCTGGAGAGAGGCTGTGGACCACGCTGCTGGGCAGCAAAAGTACCCCATGGGATAGGGAGCAACAGCACCCTAGCTGGCTTTGGAGGGAGCAGAGCAAATGCCTCTATTACAGGTGATCCTGTATACACACAATTGTCATGAACTTGCTAAGAGGATGAAAAGCTGCATATCTTTTCCAGTCTTAGACATACTCCTGCCAGAATTCATCCCTCATTACTCCAAATCCCAGAATATGACAATGCCAAATAATAACTGCATCAACTGGCACTGTGGGACCAGAGGGCACAGACACATGTCAAAGTGCTTGGCTCTGCACACCGAAGATATGCAATAAATGTCCATCCCTCCATTCACCAGAAGCTGGCAGTGCTCTTGCACAGAGAGCAAATTATCATTTCTCAAGAAAACTGCAAATAAGTAATTTTCTTCCATAAAAGAAATTATTTTGCAACCAGCAAAAAAAAAAGGAGAGGTTAGCAACACCCTGCTGAGCAGACATGGCAAGTAGCTTTCAGGCACAAGCAAATGTCTCCACTGCAGGACAAGCTGCCTGAGGCTGACTGGGGCAAAGCAGCAGCAAGCAGCAGCAAAGGACTCTCCTGTCTCCAAACCATGGTGAAAAATATCTGACGGAGTAGTTCAGGAGCATTCCTCCGTTCACCCACCTTTGGGGAAAAAAAAATCAAAAGGCAGCAAAGAGCATTTCCAAGTGTGTCTTTATATACTACTGTGTGTAAGCATGAATCCAATTAACTTCAAATGTAACTATTAATGAAATTATCTCATTTTGCTATCAGCTCAGCTTTCATCCATGGCAGTAATTAACCACTGGGGGTTGTCACTCCCAGACACATGACACAAGGACTTTCCCAAGCTCAGGTGCTTCAAACCTTTGCAGAATTCATTACCCTGACAGTGTGAAAACCCTTCACTTTCAATACCACAGGGCACCAACATGTTTTTTTTACTTTATCTAACAGATTGCCAGTAACAGTATGAAGGAAATGCACCCACAGGTAATTAATTATTGAAAAGGATACATTAGAAAATGCAGGGGTTCAGGTGGTAGGGAGGGGTCTTACATAGCCCCTTTTGCCACTGACTCAGAAACATCCTCTGCAATAGCAAGACCATTATTTTCCTCTCTGAGACACACTGTGGGCTGCACCAAGGGAAACCGAGCCTTTCCCTGCCACTCCATGCTTACAGCAGATGTGAAATCAACTCAGGAGTGTGGTTAATGATTAGGCAGTGCACTGGGTTAATGGGGTAATCCCACCACTCCAGAGACAAACGTTTAAAGCCAGCAGGTCAGTAGCGTTGGGAAAGCCAGCATGGCAGTCCCAGTGAAACCCCAAGTGTGTTCACTCTC